GTTATTAATAGTACTTTCTTATCATGTTATAGATAGATTACCTTTTTTTTTTTGAAGTATTACCCCAAATAGCCGCCCACCCAACCATTTAAATTAAAAATAACCGTGGAGGTATAATGTATGCATAATTTATGTATTATATGTGTATAATTATGTATAATGAATATATATGGTTAGAAAAAGTAAACAATGAATATGACCGGCTATTTATATAAAGATCCTTTTTTTTTATTTCAACAAATGAGCATTTTCTTTTCATCATATAATTTTAATAAAAAAGTATTTTCTTTTCATGATGTACACAAAGTATTTTCTTTCATTTAAACAAAATAATGTAGTAAAAATATTTTTTTTCATTTCAATAAAAAAAGTACTTTCTTTTCATAACGTAGAATTTTTTTTTCTTTTTATTTTAACAAAATGATGTAGTAAAAAGTATTTTCTTTCAATTCAATAAAATGATGTAGTAAAAAATATTTTTCTTTCATTTCAACAAAATGATGTAGTAAAAAATATTTTTCTTTTATTTCAATAAAAAGAGTATTTTTTTTCATGATGTGGAAAACGTATTTTATTTCATTTCAATAAAATGAGTACTTTATTTTTATGTTGTAGAAAGAGTACTTTCCTTTTCAACCAGAAAAAAGAGTATTTTCTTTTAGCTATGGAGCACAAATTTCAACGTTGTTTTTGCGTAAAAAAGTAAAGCAACACATTAGTTCTTTGGGTTTGTGCGAATTTTTAGAAGAATAATTAAATTCTTGAAAAAAATAGAGTTCTGGAAATGTTGGATATTTGAGGGGGAGGGGGGAAGAGTACAAGAAACATGGGGACTTGGGGGTGGGGAAAGTAGCATAAAAATTTATTTTCCTAAAAAATATTTTCTACTTTCTAACCAAACACTATAAAATAATTTTCGGAAAAGTTTTTCACTCACCAACCAAACAAGAGAAAATAAGTGATAAAACCACTCATTTTCTATGAAAATATTTTCAAGCCTTCATACCAAACACACCCTTAATCTATATAGTTGTCTATCGAATCGCTTAAATTAAAAATAACTGACAGATGTATAACATATGTATAATATATACATAATCGTGTATATTCAATACATAATTTATGTATACCAACTAAGAAAAATAAATAATGAATATGGTCGACTATTTTAAGATCCGAATATTACCAGAGGGGGAAGGAAAAACAAAGGGCCGGCAGATTCAGCCGGCCAGTGCCCATCATTTGCTTGAATTGTTGAGTAGTAGCTTATGGACCTTTTTAGTGTAGTCTTCACTGCTTCTTCTGTTATATTTTCTGATTCTTCTAATTTAACTGCTGCTGGAATTGGTACACATGGATTCTCTTTTCTTAGCTGCAAAATCACTAAAATTATGAACAATGTGGACCTAACAACCACTCCAAAAAAAATAAGGCGAATGTCTAAAAAAGAATGACATATTTCTATCTTAATGATAAATTTTTATAATCATACAAATGTTACAATCAGAGACAGACTTACACTATAGGTTGAGGGGTCATGGGCACCGGAAAACTTCGACAAAAACTCCATATATACTTGCAAATATCTTTAAAAAATAGTCAAATATTAGCATAAGTCCATGTACCGATCCTGGGTCCGCCTCTGATTATAATAAATTTAAGATCACAATTTTTCAAAGTTTCATAGCCACGCAAATGTTATATGACATATTTGAGACGAAAAGTTTTAATTTTTTTTAAAGAAAAAAAATTGTGTCGAGTCAAACTACGAGAAACAAAGTGAAATGGAGGGAGTATTCATCAAATTATGGATTTAATTTCTTTTAGTTAATTAATACCTGCATACGCATGAGTAAGTCAGCACTTTGTTTTTGTAGGAATCTGTTATTCTTGAAATCTTGACGCACTTTCTCAACTAAAGCTCTTTCTTCAGGAGTTCCAGCTTCTGAATCAAATTCCCAATATTGTCTTCCAATGTAATTGTTGGTGGTCTTTAGCCATGGCCCTTCCCCTTCTGCTATCTTTAGCTTCCACATTTTCTCTCCTTATCTGCTCAACTCAAATAATTAAACAAAATAATAAAAATAAAAAAGGACTACTGTTCGTAGCTCTAGCTTTTATTTAGTTCTTTGTGAAGAAAGAGAAAAAGAGAATTGTATGTCCTAATCCTGCATTTCAATATATTATATGCTTTCTTAGTTTAAGAAAAATTAATAAAGCTAATATATTACCAATCTTAAACAAGGAGTATCAAAGATTTTCTCCTCTAATTTATACCCTCGAAGGAATGTGCATGAAAAAAAGTGATGGAAGTTGAGAATGGATTAGAATAAGTGAGTTTTGATTAGTTTCATTGCACACCTCTATATATAGAGAAGATGGGAACTAAGTACGCGTTTGGACATAAAAAAATGTAATTTTTGAAAGAAAAAAAGTAGTATTTGGAGTTAAGTTGAAAAATGATATTTGAAATTTGAAATTTGAAATTATATTTGGACATGCATCTCACTTGAAAAAATATTACAGTTTTGTGAATGGGGAGCCAAGTTTTTTTGAAAATTTTGAAAAAGTGGTCAAAGCCACTTTTTGATTTTTGAAAAACTCATTTTCGAAAAGTTTCCAAAAACTTACAAAATTTCATGAATAAACACATTTTTGAAACATAATTTCGAAAAAAGGGAAAAAAAAAAATGGACAAACGGGTCCTATGTTTTTAAAAAGTAAAGTGGTCCAAAGTTCTTCTAACTTTTACTATTTTGGTCATTAGATGAATAATGAACTAGAGTGTAGGAATAGATGTTTACAATGTATATTAACTATTAAAATATAGATACTCCAATAATTTTTATATCTCATTATTTTGCTTCTAATTTTAACTTGCAGGCTAGGCTGACATAAACATGCAGCCAAATGTACTGCAATATTTATTCCTTGTCTTTCTCTGTACAGTTTTGACTATGAGTTCATCATCACAGTTCAGGGGTGCCGATTGCTGGGAATTAGTACAACAGGCAAATATACACTAAAATGAGACAATTCACTCTCATATAGTTGACTATGTAAAACTTCTTCCTAAATACATTTATTTCTAGGAAACATAAAATATATATAAACTTCTCACCAGTGCCTGTGCTATACCAGCAGGGGAAGAATGTATTTACCATGTTCGGATAACTGAGTGTAGTGCTGATGTGGGCTAGTTTTATTTGTTGGGTTATATCTTGTAACTGGGCTTGGCCCAATTTGTATTTATGTTTTCATTTTTCAAATAGTTAGTAGCATAGTTAGGCCTCATTTGTTTTTTTTAAGATTAAGACGTTTGAATCTGAATACACATATGAATATCAAGATGTGCATTAAGATTAAGATATTTGAATCTGAATACACATCTGAATATTAAGATGTGTATTAAGATCTGAATACTAAATGATTANAGTGATAATTGGTAGTGATGGCGATTATGGTTGAGGATGGTGGTGGTGGATAATAATAATTAATAATGGTGGGTGGTGGTGGTTGTGATTGAGGAAGGTGGCGGTAGTTTATTATGGTAGTAGTGCATGCTATGATTTTTTACGGTGATTGGTTGGTAGGTTGTGATAGTTGAGGTGGATGAGTTTGTGGTTGTCGTTGAGAATGATGGTGGCAGGGGCATGTCACGACCCAAAATCCCACCACAAGCGCCGTGATGACACCTAGTCTGTAAGACTAGGTAAGCCGATTTCAATTACCTCTTGAAGCCATTTCTTTTTGAAACTAACAGCAGAAATAATAACAATATACAACCTCCCAAGACTGGTAGTACTGAGTCACGAACTCTAACTGAATACATGGAATGATCACGAGTACCGAATATACAATACTGTTTGATTACAAATTAACAGTACAATGAAATAAAAAGACTCCAAGGGACTGCGACGACTAAGCAGCTCTACCTTGAATCCTTACGATCCCGCTTTAACTCTGCTCAAGTCCGATATCTCCAATACCTGGCTCTGCACAAAAATATACAGAAGTGTAGTATGAGTACACCATGGTCGGTACCCAGTAAGTATCAAGACTAACCTTAATAGAGTAGAGACGAGGTACAGTCAAGACGCTCACTAGTCTAATAACCTGTGCAATATATAATACAAAATACTAGGAAATAGATAGCAATAAGGGCAGGATAAAACAACCAGTGTTATGCGAAGCAAGACAACAAGAATACCATAACTATCACTCAACAATTAATAAATACATGTACGCCCAATTAATTCAAGTTTTTCAAATAAATATCCTTCACATATAATTCTTCCAAATAACTCTCTTTTAAAAGTAGATTTCTCAAATAATTATTTTTCAAATATAATTCTTTTTGAATAAAAATTCTTCCAAATAAATATTTTGAATATAATTCTTTCAATTAAAAAGTCACAATGTGACACCTCATTTCATAATCATAAAAATACGGGTCTTAGCCCATTTTTATATTTTTTCGCAAATACGGGTCTCAACCCATTTTTATATTTTCATGGCTCCTCGTGCCCATAATTAAATCATCATATTTTCCCGGCATCTCGTGCCCTCATTTCATATCACAACTGCACGGACAATTCAGTGCCAATTATCATTATCATTTCATCATAGCACCTCGTGCCCACATTTTATATCACTACTGCACGGACAATTCACGTGCCAAATATTCTCATTATTTACTCACGGCACCTCGTGCCCACATTTTATTTTATAATCTGCCTGGCCATAGCCACAGGCTCTCAATTTCAACATAAATCAGATTGTTATCAATTTACCAACAACAAGACAAATTGCACAAGGTATAAAAATAAACACAAGAAAATCACAACATTGCATGAAAATCATCAACACCACAACCCCAAATCATCACATATCGTCCCTCACAATAGCCACCCTTATCGCTCCTATTGCCACCTTTATCGCTCCTATAGCCACCCTTATCGCTCCGCCCAGACAATATCAATAGCCACCCTTATCGCTCCTATTGCCACCCTTATCGCTCCACCCAGACAATATTCCAACAACACAACAACAGTGAAATATCACCCTTATACCCACATAATATCAACGGTGAAATGCCACCCTTATCTCCTCAAAATAATAATTCACACAACATAACAATTTGCATGAAAAATTATCACGGCAACATAACAAAATCAATTCACATTACAGTTTACTCAATGTCCACAACAAATTCCAAGGATATAAAAAAATCAATTAATTTCACAACAAATAGCCAAAAGCTCCACACAATGTGTACAACACCCAAAAACAACCAATAGAGATAGAAATTACTCAACATAAAGCAAAGTTTTCATTAAATTCAAATTTTTAATAATTATATAAACACCTTTTCTTAAGCTCATTTAATTAATTATTTCCAGAGAAAAAATCCATAATAAAATTTGCACATATAAGCCCGAGTACGTACTCGTCACCTTGTGTACACGGATTTTCACATTTCACAAATGGCACGTAAGACTCGATGTCTAAGGGGTAATTCCCCCACTCGAGGTTAAGCAAGACACTTACCTCTTTGAAGTTATGCCAATATTCCAAAATCGCCTTCTTGCTTGAATTGACCTCCGGACCGCTCAAATTTATCCAAATTAATTGTATAACTTCATTAAAATTCATCGAAAACAATTCCGGATAATACTACGTCGACTTAAAAATTTATTCCAAAAAGTCAAGAAAAGCCAACGCGGGACCCGCCCCTTGGAACTGTCACGACCCAATTTCACCTATAGGTTGTGATGACGCCCAACACTACAGCTAGGCAAGCCAACTTAATAAATTAAGCATACATTGACAAAATTTAAAACCAAAAAAATAATAAAATACCAAATTCTACCAATGTGTGTGCCAAGACCTGGTGTCACAAGTGTATGAGCATCTAGTAGATTATACAAAACCTCAAATACTGTCTGAAATAAAAATAGACAGAATGAAAAATACAATGAGAGACACTAGTAGCTGCAGAACGCCTCAGAAAGGCAGCTCACCACTATGCCCCTGGATAACGTGGGGTGTAAGACGATAGGTCCCCCACTAGTACTTGCCTCAGGTCCTACACAAAAAAGTGCAGCAAGTGTAGAATGAGTACGTAAACAACATGTATCCAGTAAGTATTAAGCCTAATCTCGAAGTGGTAGAGACTAGATGGCCGACTTTGACACTCACTATGGGTCAATAATAATAATTAAAATACAACTAGAATATTTAAATCAGCATGATTGACAGAATTTACAATAATATATTTAACCAGCGGGAATAATCAAATTCCTTCAAATGCAACAATTCTCAATATATTAATTAAATTCCTTCAATTCAAATAATTTTTAATTTATCAATTAATCTCATTTACAGGAATAACAATTAATTCCTTAACAAGCAAGAATAATAATTCATAAAATTTCAAGGATTCTCCAATTTATCAATTAGCTTCGCAAGTTGAAATAAACTATTAAAGTATCGTGTAATTATTATT